ACCTTTTGTTTGTTCCTTCCCTTTGCTTTCCTTCTTCTTTTTTATCTTGAACTTTCTCTCTCTCTCCCTCCCCCCTCTCTCTCTCCCTCTCTCTCTCCCCCTCCCTCTCCCTTTCCCCTCTTTCTCTCTCTCTCTTTCTCTCTCATCCAGTCCTCCTCTAATCCTTCATATTGGCATCAGATTATACTACCTTTGTCCTCCAGTTTCTGTTCTTCATCTGGTGCTCTTCTTTTTAAACTCGTCTCATTACAAAGCAGCAATACCAGTACCAGTAGCCAAGAGACATCCCTTGACACAGCATCATTAGTTAAGAAGGTTATACTTTTAATAATTGCTTGTAATGTACACGTACATGGGTCAAGAAAGCAGGATCAATTAAGATTAAAATTTTTACCTGCTTAAGTACATGTATGCACCATAAAAACTTAAAAGAAATGGAGAATTCTCTCTTTTTAAATTTTGACAAAATTTGGCCAATTACAGCAACTTCAAAAAATTTGTAAAAAAATTAATTTTGCTTGAAATTAGTTTAAACTTCTACAACGTACGTGTATCAGGAAAAATTATAAAATTGGAGAATTTACTCTTTTTCAATCTTGAAAAAATATTTTGAAGCAACTTTTAAAAATTTGTAAAAATTTTAATTTTGCTCAAAATCAGTTCAAACTTTATACATACATAAGAACTTGAAGAAAAAATTATTAAGATGAAGAATTCTCCCTTTTAATTTTTGACAAAATTTTTGGAGCAACTTTAAAAATTTTACAAGAAATCCTATTTTTCAATGCCTCATTCACTACTGCATATACATGTACATGTACATGTAGTAGTACATGTATGAGTATATTAATAGTGTAATTAATATATAAATTAATGGGAAGTATAATTACATGTTTTCTGATTATTTCTAACAGGAGAAGAATGATTTGACTGTCACCTGCTCAATGTCACACATCATTGATCTATCTACTAGGAAAAGTGGAGAGTCTCACGACTTAAAATTACCGTAAGAAGAAACATAAAATAATAATTAATAATTAAAATGTTCAATAAAATTGTTAAGATTATTAATAACAATTTGCTAAATAAAACAACATGAAGAAATCATTTGTGTCCCTAAGCAATACCTTGAATGCAACAATACAGTAATGCTCATTTTATTTCTCAGATTATGCTGCAAGCAATATATATATTTATATTTATAGCGTATAGCAGGAAATTTTGGAGGGAGTTAAATTTGGCAAATGGCGAATTTTAATTTGGTGAATTTGTGGCCACGTACCATTGAGCATGCGCATAATGGCTCAAAATGGTGGATTTTTATTTCAGCAAATGGCTATCAAAATCTCAAATTCGCCAAATTTAACTACCTCCAAAATTTCCTTTTATGTGGTACTTAAATTATGCAAGCATACATTATGTATTAATTAATGTATTATTGTGTATTATTAATTATATATTCATTAATTAATGTATAATAGTAAAATTATGCAAGTACATTGTATTATTACTCCTTTCTCTCTTCTCTTTAGTGATGATGGTGCCTCTGGATTATTGAGGATACGTGTAAACCAAGTAAGAACTGCGATATTATTTTTCATTTTATGTTATTAATTGTTATTAATAATAATTGTAATTTGGCTCTTTATTTTTCATCATTATTTTATTTTAATTTTTTAAATATTTACACTTTCATGTTAGGTTCATTACGAGTCTCAGAATGTTCATCCTCCAGCTTCACCACAACCAGGAAAAAGAAAAATGAGAATACCAGAAGGAAATGTAAGAGAAAGAGAGACAGAGAGAGGGAGACAGAAAGAGAGGAAGGGAAGGAGGGAGGGAGGGAGGGAGGGAAGGAGAGAGTGAGGGAGGGAGGGAGGGAGGGACGGGGGGAGAAAGAGAGGTACATTTAGGTCTACTGGTACAGTATGTTAATGATTGTTTTTCTTTTGTCCATTAGTTAGTTTTCAACATGACTT